ATGATTATATAATGCTTTAATTACTGTGAACCTCTATCTAGTTGTGTCCGAAGAAGTCGCTGAGTCTGTTGCTGCCTTCGTCCACCACTGGCCGATCGTGCTGAATTTCACACCACATAAATTCAGTAGTGATTGCAGATACCATGTCGTATTTCATAATGTGAGTTAAGTAATCACCTACAACAATAGCAGTTTTAGTATCTTTTAAAACATCCCGAGGGCAACTTTCAGGAAACACTTTTCTCATCTTCAGTGAGCTCATACTTTATTTTTTCATATTTCCGTGTGTTGTCATACTCACTGAAGATGGGAAAATTGTTTCCCGAAATTTGACTGTGGAATGTTTTAATGAATATTAAAACTGTTATTGTTGAGTATTTCTTAACTTAAATTCCCACGACACGCTCATTGGCGAAAAATTGCTGTATATTGCTCTAATGATGGATGGCCCTAAATGGGCGCTCCGTCTGCCTGGCCAGCCGTGCTGAGGGGAGGGTCGTTCGCAGGCTGCTGGGAGAGCTCCGGGCGCGGCGCGGACTGCGAGCGCACGGCGTGCGTGGCGGACCGGCGGCCCATGCGCGCGCGGAACACGACGCGCGTTCTGCTGCTGCCGCGGCGACCGTGCAACGTCAACCGTGAGCGACGCGGGCGGCGCCTGGGGCGGCGGCGGGCGCGGCGGCGGCGGACCGGGCGGCGCTGGCGGAGCGGGAGGCGGCGCGGCGCGCGGCAGCCGGGGTGGCGCGGGCGGCGGAGACGCGGCGGGGGACGCGGCCGGCGACGAGCGCGCGCGCGGACCCGGTGAGTGGGAGTGGGCGTGCGATGTGTGCGCTTTTTGTGTATTCGAGACACAGAAATGTGTTGAAATGAGTCAGCCTGGATTCGGGTGGTGATGTCAGTGTCGATGATTGCTCGGAATATGTGCATATATTGGAGTGTGAATGTGTGTGTGTGTGTGTGAAGGTTATATGTACGTGATGTTTGCAGGTGTAGGTATCTATGTTTATCCGCGATAAGGCTCCAAACTGTTACAAGTGTCGTTTGAATTAATAAATTGTATAGTAGTATCCGTTTCAATTGTTGATGAAAAAAGGTTTGGAGCCTGTTTTGGATTTGAACAGATTTTAAACTGTTTTCATTTCTTTTTTATTAAATCCCTTACTGTTTATTAATTTTTTTGAACTAAATATTTGCCCAAGTGCGTGGCTATGATTTTTATTCTCCATTTACTGGAAGTCTTTGGTATAGTCTTAAAAAGTGAAGAAAAAACATATTTTCTGACTGAGACATTCTTCAGAACAAAAGAAAATATCTTTAAAAGGTATTTAAAAGACGCCCGAAAATCGTAAGTTTTCTGTGTAAGTCACTTTTTGAAATGTATACTCAACATACGGAAGTACATAAAATTATGAAAATCTTCTAAAACCGCTACCGAGACATTTTCATCCAGTTACTGTCGCAGTGATTTATGTAATAAAACTAAATGTTTTTCTTTTGCTTTCACAATTATCACAGATTGATGTTGTGCTTGGATGGTTTGATACACACACACACACACACACACACATACGCGCGCGCGCGCGCGTGTAATTACAATAAAGTGCAAATGTTCTGTGCATGCGTTTATGAATGAGGATGTTAATTATCCAATCGCTGGCTCCCTTAGATACTGTTCTCCTCTCTCCTACCCAGAAACACACCCGCCATTTATCTGCATGCGTCTTCGCGTTTTAGTTTCAAACACGTTCTCTTCAGCTTCACCCGTTGTGGGCCGCGCCTTACTGGTTGAAATGAACTCTTACTTGATTTTATTAATGTGCAAATTCTGTGGCCCCGCGATAATCTTCACGCCCGTCTGTCACTACTCGCCAGAGTAGGGGTTGTTCTTTTTCTGCCCTTCGCGATTATTGCTCACCCTATCCCTTTCTATTTCCTATCCATATTTCTATTTCAATATGTCAGGAGGCACCCCCGATTATTTTCCGTATTCTTTGAATCTCCGTCAATATTCTGTTGTGTTCGCTTTCGGTTTCATTTCACAGTCTATTTACGTTCCCTTTGGACTTGTTTTGTCAATTGACACATTTAACATCCTTTGCTTCCCCTAATTATTTAGCTTTGTATAAGACTTTCCCCTCGTTTTCTTCTTTTGTACCAGCCCCTTCAATTTCGAGCTGTCTCTTTAAGATTTCTCAGGTACGATGACAAATATTCGTGTTGTCGGCTGCTTTTTCATCGTCCCGTGCGCCTTTCGAGCTTCCCTCCTCATTATGCCTGCTATTGACGTTGCAGCCCTCGTCTCGGCTTTTATAAGACGTTTCAGGGGCGCCCTCTGTATTCAAGCAACCTTACAGCAGCGCAATATTTTGTGGAGAAAAAAAGAAAGGAAATATAGGAAAAGGATGACCACGGGTTTCTGCCATGAAAGACCTCGAGGAATTAATGAGATTAGGATTTTGTGGTTAAACGAAGGTACCTTCTACGGTTGCAACGAGCCGGAGCCTTTAATATAATTTGATGGACATAATAAAAGTAACAGCGAAGTTATTAAGGGGCTCCTATGCTTTTGAAACCACTTCTACATGGGCGTCATATTGTCTTTCCTATTCGGATGGATTTCTTATAATTGTTCAATTTCCTCTTTCTAGTCGCCATTCAGAAGCGGCTCGTTACCGGAAATCAGGTGCACTGCACTTACAATTTGTAACGTTTTGACATTAAAATGAAATTAGTTATACATACAACTTTAATACATTTCGCACATAATTCTGTTTTCAATAACTACTTAGCACTAATACAATGTTTACCAATTCACATTACCGAATATATGTTGTAACTCGGCAGTTCAAGACTGGTTGTTTAATGTTGGGTTCAAGTGTGAAACCATTTTCATTGGTAATACGATGATTTACTAAGTGCGGAATGTTCGAAAGGGGCCTAGTAATCATTCTTTTAATATACATTTTTATTCAACAAAATCTGTATAGTTCGACATATGTGGGGCGGACATCCGCGGATCTTTTTGTTATCGTGATCACTAATGACGGACAGAAACAAGAAATATTGAGTTAGACTCCTGAGGATCTCGGACTGAAGTGTTGAACTACAAAGTCAGTACTTGAATTATTTGCGTACGTTGAACATATAAAACAATCTAATAAAACAGGTGCCTTTGAGCTGTAAAATAAAATCCCGTTTCTTACATGTTTTGTGGACCCGCTGCTGCGTCAACAGCTTCTTGCATCCCCTGCCCATCGGCTTCCCGGGTCCCCACGTCTCCTGCCGCCACCTCCATCGCCGCCGCCGCCACTGCCTCAAAAAACACCCCTACCCCTGCCACTATTACCACCGCCGCTGCTACTACCAGCGCCACTGCCACTACCACCGACACTGCCACTACCAGCGCCACTGCTACTACCAGCGCCACTGCCACTACCAGCGCCACTGCTACTACCTGCGCCACTGCCACTGCCACTACCACCGCCACTGCCACTACCACCGCCATCGCCACCGCCACCACTTCCACTACCACCACCTCCGCTACTACTACTACCACTGTCACCACCCCTGCCGTCGCCGCCACCGCCACGGCCACCGCCACCGCTTCCGCCGCCGTTAATCCTCCATTCTCTTCCGCAATCCCCTGCGGTGCTCGTCTGGGCAATCTGCTTTTGCCTCCTCTGTCAACCTGCTTCCCCTCCTTGCGACACTGACGCCCGCTGCTGGGCGCTACGCGCCGCCGCGCCCCAACTAAAGACAAAAATGTTAATGGCGCGTGTTTGCTTCTAGACATCTCACTACACTGATGAAAACTCCCAAATGCGACTGAAAACGGACAAAGTCTTGGCGCAATGTGTTATTTACTATTGCACACATTACTATACATATTGTTTGATGTTTGTTTATTAGGAATGTGTGTATGTATTTATGTGTAATTTCATATTGTGTGTTTAATATGATTTGTGTATATGTGAATAGTGCATGCATAAATGAATGTAAATGTACGTGCACACATGAAAGTATGGTCTGGACAAACATTGTAAAGTAACACTATATCAATTCAACCGGGTAAATTTACATAAATGAGTAAGAATTGTAGGAATAGAGAAAAATCATCCCCAATTTTTACATCCAACACAATTGTTTGGCTGGACTTGTTTGGGTGTGATGAGCTCATGCTTTCCCTTGGTGTGTCCGCAGCGCGCGACTTCCTGGAGCAGACGGAGCGCGCGGAGTGGTGGCGGGGGGTGGCGGTGCCATGCGTGGTGGGCGGGCTGCTGGCGGCGATGCTGGGCGTGGTGGCGCTCAAGGTGTGGCGTGCGTG